GAGAATAATGCCTTGTTCCATGCTGGTTCCTTGATATCTAGAACCATGAGTAGTGTATATCAGGTGCTTGATAAATATCATTTAAGTGAATGGGCAACTGGGATGAGCAGCTTTTTAAATCAATTGCTTAGACCACAAGTAGGTATTATAGATCCAGATAGCAATAGCAGGTCAAAACATAAATTTTGCCTCACAATATGATTGGGATGAGCTTTTTAACTGACATGAACCCAAAACTTCCCCAAACTCTCATGCTGATAAAGAAACATTGAATGAAATTCTTTCTTCAATTTATCATCAATCGAAACCTTCTCCCCACATACCTTCAGCCTGTAGGTCAGCAAATTTGGACTCAGGACAGCCAGACAACATCAGTTTTGGTCAATGTTCTAAAGCATAAATCCAAAGATAGATTACCCTGTCAAAGCGAGTTGATGATGGAAAGCCTATAATATATTACTTATCAAATTCAAGTTGGATTTTAAGTGTTTAAGTGTTCCAATACCACCTTGTTGATTGGTTGACCTCTGGTTTAGGCCGGTATTTTTATGCATGAACTCTGTGTGAACTGGAAAAGACAAAAGAATGATGAGCTTCTGGGTGAGGGTTAAGAAAGTGACCTTGCCTGTGTCACTGGGGCTCCCCAGGGACACTGGAGAAGGCCCTGTCATCCATTGTCTAATAAAGTCCAATAAAAGAGAGAATTCGTCCTAGTGTGGTGTCAGCATCGCTATAAATTCTTACGCAATAATAAAATAATAGGATGTTATTAATTCCACCATTCTGGTTGCTTCTGAAATGATACTAGAGTAATATCATTGATTCATATTTTTGACTGCTGATACATTATTTTCTAGAACTATTAACTGCTTTAAAACCAGGGTGCCATAATACAGTCGGAAGAGATTGTGAAATATTTCAACTGATTCCAGCAATTAATTTAAGGCCACCTTGCACATTTTAGAATTAAGAATTATGCTTTGAAATAACTTAGAGAAAAAAAATTAAAAGGAGATAATGAGTATTTTTGGACTCCACTAAGTCTTATAGGTAAACATTGGGTCATATGTTTTCAAGAAAAAGACTTTAGAAGACATTTAAAATGTTAATTTTCCCAGGTATGTTGCACACCTTTGAATCAGAGAAGAAAAAAAAAAATATAAGCAGTTTGAATTTCTTTTATGAACAGCATATTGTGCGAAGAACTTTCACATATATTGGTTCATCAAACTGATCTGGATAAAATTGAGACAGGTTTGCTGCTCTTCTCCTAGTTCAGATCTATGATATTAAAGGAAAACCACATCTAAACCAAGTTCTAAGGTTAAAAAGGTGTGGTGGAGTTTTGGAGAGAGAGAAAATTGCCCCTACTTAATGATCTGGAGTAGAGAGTATTGTGTACATGTGTTAAAGGATGATAGCTTAAGCCATAAAAACAATATCATGATAAATAAAGTACATCGGTGTCTGGATAATTAAAAGGGAATAAAGAAAGAGAAAGTTGCTTTCACACAGTAAAGCCGTAGAAGAGGAAATCCCAGGATTCTGCACAACACAGAGGCATATTTTTTTAGGTGCTGTGTAGAGAGTAGTTTGGTTTGGAACAGGCCTAGAAAACAAACAAACAAACAAACAAATAAGCAGAGGGAAACTGGTACAAGAAAAGGTTCTGCTAGTGTAGCTGGAAAGAGTTGTCCAGACTAAGAGGTTGTAATAACCCTCTCTTCTTTAAAGCTTACTCTGTACACCGCTCCTGGTAGTTACGGGACTGTCAGGCCTCTGAGCCTAAGCTGAGCCATCATATCCCCTGTGACCTGCACGTATACATCCAGATGGCCTGAAGTAACTGAAGAATCACAAAAGAAGTGAAATTTATTTTTATTTATTTATTTATTTATTTATTTATTATTATTATTATACTTTAAGTTCTAGGGTACATGTGCATAACGTGCAGGTTTGTTACATATGTATACTTGTGCCATGTTGCTGTGCTGCACCCATCAACTCGTCAGCACCCATCAACTCGTCATTTACATCAGGTATAACTCCCAATGCAATCCCTCCCCCCTCCCCCCTCCCCATGATAGGCCCCGGTGTGTGATGTTCCCCTTCCCGAGTCCAAGTGATCTCATTGTTCAGTTCCCACCTATGAGTGAGAACATGCGGTGTTTGGTTTTCTGTTCTTGTGATAGTTTGCTAAGAGTGATGGTTTCCAGCTGCATCCATGTCCCTACAAAGGACACAAACTCATCCCTTTTTATGGCTGCATAGTATTCCATGGTGTATATGTGCCACATTTTCTTAATCCAGTCTGTCACTGATGGACATTTGGGTTGATTCCAAGTCTTTGCTATTGTGAATAGTGCCGCAATAAACATACGTGTGCATGTGTCTTTATAGCAGCATGATTTATAATCCTTTGGGTAAATACCCAGTAATGGGATGGCTGGGTCATATGGTACATCTAGTTCTAGATCCTTGAGGAATTGCCATACTGTTTTCCATAATGGTTCTCAAAAGAAGACATTCATACAGCCAACAGACACATGAAAAAATGTTCATCATCACTGGCCATCAGAGAAATGCAAATCAAAACCACAATGAGATACCATCTCACACCAGTTAGAATGGCAATCATTAAAAAGTCAGGAAACAACAGGTGCTGGAGAGGATGTGGAGAAATAGGAACACTTTTACACTGTTGGTGGGATTGTAAACTAGTAAAGAAGTGAAATTTAAATGGCCTATTCCTGCCTTAACTGATGACATTCCACCACAAAAAAAGTGAAAATGGCCGGTCCTTGCCTTAACTGATGACATTACCTTGTGAAAGTCCTTCTCCCGGCTCATCCTGGCTCAAAAAGCTCCCCCACTGAGCACCTTGTGACCCCCACTCCTGCCCGCCAGAGGATATAACCCCCTTTGACTATAATTTTCCTTTACCTACCCAAATCCTATAAAATGGCTCCACCCCTATCTCCCTCCGCTGACTCTCTTTTCGGACTCAGCCCGCCTGCACCCAGGTGATTAAAAAGTTTTATTGCTCACACAAAGCCGTTTGGTGGTCTCTTCACACGGAGGCGCATGACAGGGACCGCATGAAGTCAGCCTGCGATGTTTTTGAGCATTGCTTGAAAAGCCAGCAGATCAACATTGGATGGGTGTGTGTTGGTTTTTTTCAGGCTTCAAGGAACAAAGATGATTTCACTATAGGTATCCTCTAAGTGTACTTAAAAGCTCAAGAAGCTTAAGCTTTAGGGCCCCCTCCCTTGCATGAAGCGGCTCCAGCAATGTAATCACAGGATTTTGCAAAATGTGCAAAAAGTAGGATATTTTAACCACAATCAGGAAAATCATCTCTTTTATTCCAACTTCTAAATTACACGTCCCCATTTGTTAGGTAGAGTTGGAGTAGATACAGGCATTTTTGAGATTCAACTCAGGAGAAACTGGGCAGCGTATATATTTGGTTTAGGATAAGTGGAACATACGGATGGGTTATCCCTCACTTTTAAACAGTGTTAAGTTAATGCTGGTCAGAATGGATTCCAGAAATATTCCCATGGGAGCTGCCTTTGGGTACTTACCTGGTGCTGCAATGTAAGACATCAGAGATGAACTGGTTAATGACTTTTCTGTTTCAAGGGACATTTAAGGGAAATCCTTGGACAAATAATCCTGAAATGTGCTGAACTCACATATAAATGAAATGAGGAGTTTGTCCAAATTTGACAACAATTCTAAAAATGTACATGATATTACCAATGTCAAGTTGTGAAACAAAATTAAACTCTCTAGTTGTCAATTTAAAAAAATTGACCAACTATGCTAGAAGACTGAGAAAATAGTTACAAAACCATTGCCATACAAAAAGGCAGACAAAGAGAATGTGGCAAAAATGTGAGACACATATTACAGAAGGATATCAGATAGTTATGTTTCTAGATTTTCTAGTTTTTGGTGTTTGTTGGGATTTATTTATTCAATTTAGGTAACTATTCACTTCAAACCTACTTTTATGTTCATAATTTTGTAACCTTTCACTTTAAGGGCCTCTCATGATTATAGAAGCTTCAGGGTCCACAAAGCTTGTATAGTCCACTAGGAAAGAAAGAAAACCATTTCAGGTATCAAAAGGCTAGGCTTTAAAAGACAATAATGGCTGGACATGGTGGCTCATACCTGTAATTCTAGCACTCTCCACCTTTGGGAGGCCAAGGCAGAAGAATCACTTGAGTCTGGGAGTTCGAGACAACCTGGGCAACACAGTGAGACACTATCTCTATATAAAAACTTATGTAATGTTTTTCAAAAGACATCAAGTAGCAGGGCCAGCTGCATAATTGCTGGACCCCATGCAAAATGCCCGTGCAGGGCTCCATGTTTAAGTCTTATGAAGAATTTAAAGATGGCAGCAACAGAGCATTAAACCACTGGCAGGGTCCTTCCTTGCTCAAAGCTAGCCTGACAGGAGGACTGTGAATGGTTATACAGTGACTCTGGCCCTCTTGTTCCTATCTCAGCAACAAGCATCTGAGGTCTTCATTTCTGAGACTAAACCATTATGGTGACAGCTTTTGTAATTTTTGCTTCTCCCAACTCATGTACTTAGCTCTGCTCTCTCCTCCTGACTTTTACCTCCTGCCTGTATTTGCATTTATACTTCTGTTTTCTACTGTTTCTCAGGCTCAAGTTCTCTGGCACAGAGAGGATTAGTGAGGTTCATTAACAATTACATAGTTCAAGGTACCCTGTTGGGTGGCATTCTCAAGTGCAGCTGTTTCATGGATCACTGATGATAGGGTTTGGCTGTGTCCCCACCTGACTCTCATCTTGAATTGTAGTTCCCATAATCTCCACGTGTCATGGGAGGGACCAGGTGGAGATAATTGAATCATGGGGCAGTTTCCTCCATTCTGTTCTCCTGATAGTGAGCGAGTTCTCGCGAGATCGGGTGGTTTTATAAGGAGCTTCCCCGCCCTCCCCCGCCCCGCTTTTGCTCTGTACGCTCCTTGCTGCTGCTGTGTGAAGAAGGACATCTTTACTTCCCCTTCTTATTGTAAGTTTCCTGAGGCTTCCCCAGCCATGTGGAACTGTGAGTCAATTAAACCTCTTTCCTTTATAAATTATCCAGTCTCAGGTACATCTTTATTAGCATTGCGAGAACGGGCTAATACAATCAGACGCCGTATAAATGGCTGCCTTGGGTCAGGTGATGATCTTGGTCTAATCGTCTTGTGGTATCATATAGCAAAAAGCACGATGGCTTACTTGTCCTTAACATCTTCCCTTAGAGCTGTGGGCTTGGCTTTTCAGATGGGCAGGCTGGCTAGGGGACACTGGACCTGTCCTGTCCAATCCTGCATGCACAAGATCTAATGCTATGTATTCTCTGGAAAAATATTTAAGTGTATTGTATATTGCAGCAGCACAAAAGTCAATCTGTGCAAGTTAAAAAATATTGTGTTCCCAAATTGAGGTGATTTGAACTTGGAAAAAGCGGAACAGGAGGCCTGCTCCCTCTGAGAATCTCACCCTGCTTCCTTATCAGATTTCAGCCTTCTGCAAAGGCATTTTCAAGTGGGCTGTAATTGCCTGCCGGTATACACTTCGTGCCCTCATAAATCTTCACTAGCACAGAAAAGTAAACCGTGTTGTGTTTGAGAATTCCTTGGAAATGTATTGCTGTTGGATACTGACAGGGATACCGGCAAAGGGAAGGGTCTGTGTTCTCAAGGTGAAAGACATCAGTCTGAGCATAAGGGTCCCGGGAGATTGCAAGGAAGGTGGAACCTAGTCTGGGAGCCTTTGGGCAGCTGCCCTTCCTGTGAGCAGTAGCAGCAGTGGTGCACGGTGGAACTAGGGCAATCACACTTGCGGGGTCCCGCAGAGGCGATTTAACTCGCGTCTATTCTAGAAGTCCGCCATGGTCTGTCTTAAATGAGGGAACGGCATTCTATACATCATCTACCCCCAAACTGGCTGTACGTTGGAATCACCTGGAAAGGTTTTACAAATAGCAACTTTAAAAATAAAATTTCAGTCAGTGTAACGGTTATGAGCATCAGTTCAAAGACCACTTTTATGACTTACCATGTGGCCGTTCTCTGTGCCTTCATCTTTTCATATACAAAATGTAGATAAAAATCTTACCTTTCCTCTAAGAGAAGATGAGTATATCCGCACAGTGCATACAACTTTGGGAAAACCCAATAAATCCTGATTATTTTACATATTCATATTGTACATCATATGCAATTAAGGATGGAGGGGCTCACACATAGGCTTATGAACGTGTATACTCAGAAGCACAAGTAAATTACATTAAGATTTAATGCACCATCTGAAAGGGGATACCTTACTATAAACTTGCTTTTGAAATCTGCTCTTGAAAGATGAGCAGCGCACACTTGAACATGTGTTAAAAATTAAGTTAAGAATCCAAAATGAAAGCTCTTTAAAAGGAGGCCTAGTTATATATGGGAGGACTTCAGATTTGACAAACAATCAAAAAGTAAACCTAATTTATTTTAGGGAGAAAATGTTCAGAGGCTGAAAAGGTCACCTTCTATATTCCCAAGCATGAGGACAAAAGCAAGCCCCACAGACACAATGACTTAGTGCTGCTTTTGCCTGTGAAATACTGACTCAGTGAGCTACCAGGGAACAGAGGAGAAAAGTACAGCACAATCTCTTCTCTGGCTCTCTGGATGGTCAATTCCTGCAGAGACCATGGACTGTTTCTGCTTCACTCCCTTGAGCTAGATCCGTCCACATCACCACGTGTGGATTAGCATTTAATAAGTGTTTGTGAGGATGACTGATGATGCGGCCAGCGCGCTTGGTAATTTAGAGCAGGCTGTGTCAGTAGTAAGAGGTTTTATTTTCCTTCCTGTGGGAACCCCTTCTCTGCTTGACTTTTCTTGTTGATTGTAAGTTCCCTTGGGCAGAAGACTTGTTTGTATGTTTATTAAGAGGCATTGAGCAAATTGCAACAAACTACAGAGTGATAACAGTGAGTAAAAATTTCATGAGATGCTATCAAATGATTCATTAAAAGAAAGATCCAGGATATTACCACCAACTGCTACATTAACTAGTCATGTCATAACACCATCAAAATGCTAATTAGGTTGTCTGGCATGATTTGTTATTAAAAAATAAACCCAAGTTTCCTGTAGTTCTTGAATTTGGATAGTTTTCCCTTTCCTAATATTCACTTTAGGGTTTATTGGGTACCATTTAGTTCTTTTTCTTTGGATATAAACAAAGCCTTTGTGTATTCCTCTTGCCACCACCCCCATGAATCTCCAAGCAGTTTAAACTTTCAGACAGGGGTCCACTCCACAGAATAGTGAATTCAAATCCTACTAAAAAGGGATGAAGCATGGTGTTAGGAAGTTGTGGGGGGAAGAGACTGTTCGTGCTGTCATGTTGTGGGATCCAGTCAGGGCCAACTGGCTGGTTGCTTCCAGCTGGAGAGGGCAAGTGGGGAGCACCAAGATCTAGAGCTCAAACCATCCATTGGCATAGGCTAGGAGCTGGCAGGGAAATAATAAAGGTAGGCTTACACAGGGGAGGTTCTGTTCAGCAGGCCAAGTCTGGTAACTTAAGGCCAGAGGCTTCAGATGAAATTGATGGTAGACATTTATTTATTTTTATTTTATTTTATTTTATTTGAGATGGAGTTTCACTCTTGTTGCCCAGGCTGGAGTGCAGTGACACCATGTTGGCTCACCGCAACCTCCGCCTCCTGGGTTCAAGGGATTCTCCTGCCTCAGCCTCCTGAGTAGCTGAGATTACAGACATGCACCACCACACCCGGCTAATTTTATATTTTTAGTAGAGATGGAGTTTCTCCATGTTGGTCAGACTGGTCTCGAACTCCTAACCTCAGGTGATTCACCCACCTTGGCCTCCCAAAGTGCTGGGATTACAGGTGTGAGCCACTGTGCCTGGCAGATAGACAGAAATTTAAGATGAAGAATGGGGGTGTCTCAGTAAGTAAGGATCACTCAACAGGGAGGAATCTGGAGTGAATGTTATCCAAATTTAAAGGAGAAGTGGATTAGCCTCAGGGAAGATTATCAACGGGTAGTAACACTTTTGGGCTAAGATTTGGGGGCAGGGCTCCAGTCCTTGGGAGAAGGTCTGACAAAAACAAAGCAGGATGCCAGCCTTGGAGGAGGCAGATGCACTAATCATTTTACCTTAGTGATCACTCATAACAGCGGTCAAGGCCAAAGTTCCACTGTTGAGATGCTGGGGCCCAGCATGAACTGATGATGGACGAGAAAATGAAAGACCACTTCTCAGATCCAGAACACCGTGTATGCCCTACAAGCTATCCTGCAGTCTGAATGACTGCAGGAAGACATTCTGAACTCTTCAATGTTGATAACAGCTGGGCCAAAGTCACTGCTTTAGGTTAGGAACTGGTAGCAAGGCTGAGCCTGCAGATAGACTAAGAGATCCCCTCGGGGAGAGAAAGGGAAAGAGGCTGGTGGCCAGCATGGCCCTGGCACATGGCAGCCACGTCTTCTGCCTCAACTCCTGTTCCCAAATTTCTAGAACCATGGAGTTGGCCATCGTTCCTCAAGGCAGAGAGAGCAGGTCGTAATGGTAGCAGCACGTGTCCTGGAATTAGGCTGGCTTTGAGTCCTAACTAGAGTTGCCATATTTAGCAAATAAAAGTACAGGAGACCCAGTTAAATGTAAATTTCAGATAGCAAATAATTATTTTTTCCATAACTGTTCCCAAAATTACACGGGACACACTTATACTAAAAAAATTATCTTTTTAAATTTGAATATTTAAAATATTTACTTTGAATATTTGAAACATACTAACATTATTCATTGCTTGTATAAAACTAAAATTTAATTGGGTATACTTTTTTTTTCTAGCAAGCATATGCTTCTAATTTGCTTACTTTCTAACTATTGGAAATTGGGAATATTATTTGATACCTCTATTTGTCATCTGTAGAATGGAACTGATCTAGCTTACAGTGTTTTTGTAAAGATGAATTGAGTTAATACATGCAAACTCCTCAGAATTATGTCTGGCACAGAGTAAGTGCTCAAAAATGATTACTTTTGCTTGCTTTTTTATTATTGTTATTACCACCAGCATTATTACTACATCTGAGAATCTGCATTACTAGTGATCAGTAGAATTTTTATTTATTTATTTTTTTTTGAGACAGAGTCTTGCTCTTTTGCCCAGGCTAGAGTGCAGTGGCGTGATGTCAGCTCACTGCAACCTCCGTCTCTTGGGTTCAAGCGATTCTCTCCTGCCTCAGCCTTCCAAGTAGCTGGGACTACAGGCATGCGCCACCGCACCTGGCTAATTTTTGTATTTTTAGTAGAGATGGGGTTTCACCATGTTAGCCAGACTGGTCTCAAACTTCTGACTTCAGGCAGTTCATCTGTCTCGGCCTCCCAAAGTGCTGGGATTACAGACGTGAGCCACCATGCCTGGCCCAAATTTTTATATTTTTATAAAATAATGCAGGGCAAGGTTTCAGCAAAAGGTGAAATATTTTACTTATTTATTTCCTATTCTCTTCCAAAAACAATTTATATGGTCCCACAATAAAATAACAGCTAAGATAAACCCAAAGCTGATTGTCACAAGAAAAAAGAAAACCATCGAGAATTTAAGAAAGAGGCAAAGAGAAGAATATCAAGAAGTTCCGGTTGAAGACACAGCTATGGCAGTTGAGTACACAATTGTGTTCTGCGTTTGCTGATAACTCCGGAGAATAAAAGATGGTGGGAAATGGAAACAGGTGCTGTTTACAGCCTCCCTTCTCTGTACCGCGTTTCTCTCCTGATGCTTCGTTGTATTTTCTCCTCTAAGAACTTGCTCCAGAGAAAGACTTTTGAATCCTAACAGCAACTTAAATTAATGAGTAGCTTCTTCCAGGAGAATGTCCCCTTGAACTCGCTGGAGAACAGAAAGGCTGACTTTTTGTTAGAAAGGACTTCTGATGCTAGTGCTTTGTGGGGTAGAGAAAGTTTGGTTTGGTATCAGTTTTTGGGTGGAGAGTACTT